TGGCATTAGCATTACCGTTTGTAAAATAATTGTTGGAGAGTTTATACATGTTCACTCTCTCTTTTCTCCCTGTTCACTAAATCTAAGTGTCCCCGTTGGAAATGTACGTAAACAGTTCCCGTATCATTTACTTAATGTTGAGCGAAATTGTAAACATAGATTGTATTTCTAAATTATACCTCAATGTTTAGTTTTTATATGTTTTAATTTTTCAAAAGTGATATTTATTTTCCATCAGTTAGATATTGTAAATAGCAATCGACTTCTTCTAAATTTGTAAATATTTTCGATTTTATGATTTCCAAAATTTATTTTACTTGTACCTACAAATTTAGGTAAATAAATTAATTGCGTCTAAAGAAGTGTCTTACTACTTACTTCATTCTACGTGAGGAATTAAAAAGATTAAGATTAAACCAGATGGGCTCGCTTTTTGCTGCGACGTTAATTATTCAGCGTCCACTCATTACAACCGGCCCACGGTGGGTCGAGTCAATAGGAGAGGTCGGACAAAATTTGGAAACTTTAAACTCTTGTAACTTCGTTTACACAAAACTTTGAGGTTCAAAAAGTAGTTTCATTGGTTTCCTCGTAAAATTATCTTCTTGCAGCATCCTTTAAAGTTTAAAATGTGACGAAATAAACATCAAAATTTGAAGTTATATTCAAATATTTCATGTCCGACCTTTCTGACTCGAACCGCTGTGCGCCCACGCTTTTTCTCTCTTACGGTCGTCACAAGAGTCTGAACTTTGTTCAATGTCTCGAAATGTGCTAAATCTCGGTATAGACTCACCGCAACGATCTGGTATTTGCCTGTTTCTTACTGCAGTCCACCAAATAAACTAAAAGTTTATCAAATAAATAATTGAATCGATCTATAATGGTCGTGCTTTCGTTGTCTACATGATCGCTTACCGTGCAGTATAGAACCATACGAATAAAGAACGCGTGATGCATAACCCCTAAGGCGCAAAGCATCTTGAGGGGTTGTACCGCGAAGCAGTCAGGGGGTGTACTCTTCAGTAATAGAAAAGTCATGGAATAATTTTTTTTAGATAAGAAAATGATATATTTTTAAGGTATTGAGAAATCCCATTAAGAAATGTTGAAATCAACGAAGGGGTTATTTTTTGGTACCCTGCCGTAAAATTAACCATTCTTTGTTGTTGTCATATCCGCTACCAGAAATTTTGTCCGAGATTTAAAGAAAGTTGTACTTTTTCAATTTTTAACTAACATATATTTTACACTGCTAATCAAATTTACAGAAAATGCACTAAAATTAAGTAAACGAATAATAAGGTTATTCATAGGCATCTATGGTACAAAATCCTTCATACGTCCTTATTCTCCCTGAATAAATCACATCACCATGATATTCTCATTTTAAGGTGGATGAATGTGGTCAGAATATTACAAGGAGCCACTGCTGCTCCTATATCAAGCCGCTCACATTGGCTACTTTAGTATTGAAGGCGAACTGGCCAGAATGAGTGTAGAAGAGCTATAGAACAGAGCACTGCTAGTAGATAATAATTTTCAATGCGAATGAACGTGGCTTTATTACTACTAGCAGCTATGGCTGCTCCAAGCCGCTCAAATTGCCCACTTCAGTATTGAAGGCGAATTGGTCAGAATGAGTGCAAAATAGATCACTTTTGATATGGAAGTACATATAGTCTTATATAAATATGCAGTTTGCAATTTTGTAAAACGTTGATGGAGTCGCATTTCTTTTAGGATTAAGGACTCTATTAACAGAACATGCATCATGTTGTAAAATGTGCACCAAATCCCATTTTGATGCGGAAAAAATCAACCGTTTTTAACTTGAAAGATTTCGCACGAAATCTTACAGCTGTCAATGCTTATTTCTAAAAATATCATGAGGAAAATATTTATTCGTCTTCTTTATTAAAATGAATCAAAAATGGGATTCTTCACACATCATTTTCTTTCTATCCCTCATTACAACGATAATCATTGCCTAGCTATAAAGAGTTTCACCATTCCTGTATTCCTGTACTATGCACATAGTGGTCAACTCTTCATAAAGTGATTTTGATTAACATCAAAGAGGGCCTCTATACAAGGAATTAACTGGATCGCGTTTAGCAAAAAGGAACCAAGTCACATCAGCTATTGCCAAATTTAATTGACTAATTTAATTTCTTACAACAAGACGTTTGTGCGAACTGTTTTGGAAATTTGAAGGCTTCGTAATATGCAGAAAATTCACTGAAATTTGCACTCAAAAAATCCGCACAACCGTTTTTATGTAAAAAATTAAATCGCCCAATTAAATTGGCAATAACTGATGTGGCTTGGTTCCTTTCTGCTTTAACGAGTCCAATTAAAGCTCTTCACGAAGCGTTCCCTCTTTAAAATGTCAAGAGAAGAATAAATCACACAGCAATTAGAAAGTCTATAAATTAAGAACTAAACAAGGTATACGTGTTTATAGTAGATATTCGTTGAATGGAAAAAAAAACAAACAAATAACGTCTTTCGCATAATCCAACTCCCGTTTTATCTATTTTAAAAGTTCTGGTTAATATTTCACTCATAAGTGGATTTCTATACTTCTCGTGAGTGTGTCGTTTTCTACTAAAGAGTTTGAAAAGGAAACAGGAGACATATTCTTCTAAATTAGACTCAGTCTTGCGGCCGAATGTTTCAAAATTAGTTACTGTAATGGATCTAAAATCAAACTTTCGAAAACAAATCGTCGAAACTGGTGCTAGACACAATTTGATCATACGCTTAAGATTCTATACTTTTACCTTAATCGTTTTAAAAAGTTCGCTCATTTTCGTTTTAAATACTACGGAAGCGATTTTACACCTAATATTTTCTTTCAAAGGACTCAAAATGTGTCTCGAAGGTTGAACTGTGTAACAGCCAGAAGTCGGGTCTTCCACTCTCTAAGGTAATTCCTACAAATTTTAATTAAGGAAAGAGCAGAATCACAGGTGGAACATGAGTTTTAGATGCAAAACAAATTAGTTTAATCAACACCATTATTTATGAAGAAGATATACGTAAGGGCTACAAACAGGCATGCGACCCAGAAAAAAATCACCGGAATACTAATTTCATTGCAGTCTTACATTATGTAATAAAGTTTGATGAGCGAGTTGTCGGGTGAATCGACATGTAGAGGATCAGAGGGCAAATCCAAAAACAAAAGAGCTCGTAAAAATCGTAGGTAAACATGGTGCTTAAATTGCGTGTGGCGTTCAGACATGCGGGTGAGTCATGCACATTACTGCGATTGAAACAGAGAGAACGATCTTGAAAGGTTGTGTCAGCTTTCTCGCAAATCTTATTTTCTTTAAAAAGAACAATTAGTCTTCTTCCGGCCAAAGTATCACACGCCCCATGCGATGTTTCAAAATTTCCGCCGTCATATATTTTTTTACTGAGAAATTGTTAGTCGAATCTGTTTGTAACTTTCACTGAATTTTATCGGCAGCACTTAGGAAATTCAGTGAAATTTTCGGGAAGCTTCGTTAAAAATTTTCTCTACAAAAAAATAAAATGCAGTCGGTAATTTTTAAACGTCGCATGGCGCTTGTGATACTTTGAACGGAAGGTGGTGAATGTTTAACGTGGTAGAAATTTAAAAAATTACTTTGTCTGAAAACAAGATTAAGTATGTTGATGAAGTATAACAACGTATATTCAGATCACATATGTTTCCGGTTTTAACTACAGAGGAACTTACTATATCTGGAATAAAACGATGGTTATAATATGGCCTGTTTTTTACGTTTTCAAGGAAGAAACGAGATTCATGAAGAAAACCTTACTTGGGTGAATTAATTCGTCAGAAGCCGTGAAACGTGACTTGGGCGGACAAATTAGTTTGAATTTCATTACACCTTTTTTCCCCATTATTCCTGAGCTACGTTTCATGAAAACTCACTCCTCTATGGCAAAAGCTCGTGCCAGGTAAAATAAAAAATGAAGACAAAGTAAGGAGTTTAATTTGGCATGACTCAGGTAGACTGAGCAGTGAGGATCTTATGTTGCCGCACCGTGTAATTTAAAGTCACATTTTCTCCAATCATGACTAGTCCTAGATTGAATCAAAATTTGTATCCTATTTTGATACAAGTTTAATACAAGGCACTCATTTTGAAAAAAGATACAAAACAATTGAATAACCACATAATTTATCAGTATACTTAATTCACGGGTAACGATCAATTAGCATCAATGATTCCCAATAAATCGAAAGCCTAAAAATCGATCAAGAAAAAAACTGACGATTACATGCGTCTCATACGACCGTTATATTGATATTGATCGAATTTTTCAGTTGAAAATTTGCAACCTCGTTAAAAATCAGCAGCATTATGCCACTAGGATCAAATTCGCAACCTGTTGGTGGCAATACGAAAAAATAGAGCACATTAGTTCCGCAGAAAACACTCTTCATTCCTAGATGTCTTGGAGTTACCCTCGATTTCGGTCGATTTTACCAAGAACTGAGGAGATCAACCAAGTCCTTCCGGTTTATTTGACCGAAAAAAGTGACTCGCAAAGTAACCATAATCACATAAATGTTTAACTGTGTGTTTCCTCAAGTTCCCCACGGTTCGTTCATTAAGAAAAAAAGGAAGTGGTCGTAATTCGGGCATCTTGGAGTTTGTTAATAACGTAAGGAGGCA